ATCTAAGGATACAAATTACCGTTAACTCACGCTGCCTCCCCTTCATTTGCGTGAACAAGACTGCAGGAGTACATGAGTAGGATTTCACACACTGTTTCATTCATGGTTGTGTTTCACTTTTCTCTCTGTTGCACTTGAAATTGACTGTAAGTGGTATGTCCATGCCACTGTGTTTTATAGCAAGGCTGTGAAAGACTGGACATAACCAAGGCATCTTCAGCTTGTATCACTGAGAGTAATATCAATTGATGTACCGCTTCCTGTGATTGGACCCCCTCGCACAGTGGTACTAACTTGTATTTATGAAGTCCCTGCTAACTCAAAAAAATATAAGCGTTTTGTTTCGTATTTCATGATTATACATCTGATTTATAGGAATGAGCAATTTGTATATGTGCATAAAGCCACTGGTGACTCAAAAATAATTAAATTATTTTGCATTTCATGATTATACAATTTCTAGGAACGGACAAATCTCTGTCAAGTCATTTTAAAACAGCTTCGCCGACATGAAGACGCCCAAGATGAAAGTAACTCAAGACCAGGATAACTAGAAGGAAGTCTCGAATTTAGCATTTCTTCGGTGGCCAAATGACCTAGGATGCTATGCGTATCTCCGCCGGCGAAGGGTTATGTTAATCATTCTGATGCTGTCCCCAATTTCATCAGCTTAATCGTTTCCAGCGGTTTATCTATTTACACTCCTAAATCTCTACACTCCTAGATATTAATTATTAGTGTCGTCTGCTGTTAAGAACCAAACTACATTTTGTCAAGTCTCGCGTTAGGTTTCTCTTTTCCAGCAACTTTCATTCTTACATTACTGATGCAACTTACCTTGGATGTTGATTTGCTTGCGCGGGTTGTGTTGAAAGTCGAATTAACAGAAGTTTAAGTTTTATGTGAGGGAATTTTGACTCCTGGGCTTTGGAATACGGTCAGGCGCGTAGCGGGCTTTTCTATAAGCGACTGAAACTCGATCCTGCCAAGCCCCTGTGGAGGACAAGTGTCTGCACATGTGCAGAAAAAATCCATATATGAGAAATGGAATACGCTGACTTGGGTTTCCCACTTTGCGAACGGGGTTCAATTTTTTTAGATGTTGGTATTCTCTAATAACTGATTAACACATCTTTGGTCAGAATACCATAACTACCAGAAAGAGATCGGAGCGTCTCGTTAGGTACTTCAGTCCCACAACGCTGACAGAAAGGGAGTAAGTACGATAGTAGGCATTCCATGCGCGCGCTACATTATCTTCTTTCAGTTTCCGTTTATTTTCTGTCATCTTATCTCAACGCAACCAGCCACACGTGTTCATCCGCTGTATAATTAGTTATACTTATTTGAAATAAAAAATGTCGTATAATTCGACGGTTGGCACCTTTTGCGCTTGTATTGATTGCCAACTGTCTAGCTTCGCGGTTGCCATATCCTCTCAATTTCCGTAGGGGAAACTGCCCTAGAATGGTATGGCACTTTGAATATCATCTATGGGCGTTGGAATGGTTTGCTCGTTTAAAACATTTATGATTTGATTTTTAAAATCTCTCTCTCTCTCTCTCTCTCTCTCTCTCTCTCTCTCTCTCTCTCTCTCTCTCTCTCTCTCTCTCTCTCTCTCTCTCTCTCTCTCTCTCTCTCTCTGACATTCTTCCTTGCTTCTTTTCTCCCCGTTTCTTTCTTCCTCTCTCCCCTTTCTTTCTCCGTATCCGCTCCTCCCCCACGCTACGTCTTCCCCTCTTCTCTGCCTTTCCCGCCCATTCGCCTTCCCCTTCCCTCGTTACCCGTCTCTCCCTCACTACTTTATTCGGGTCTTTCCTTCCTAATTCTTTTTTTTTTTTCTGCCTCTCTCGTCCATTTTTTTTCTTGCCTTCGCTGTTTCACTCTCGTCCTCTCTCCTTCTTATGTCTCTCCCTCCTCTATCTTCTTTCTTTTGATCTTTCTCGAGTCCTCTTTTCCCCACTTCTATTTCCCTCTGCTTGTCTCCCCCCCTTTCCCCTCGCCCTTCCTCCGTCTCTCCCCTCCCTTCCGCCTACTTCCTCCCTAATCTCTCTCTCTCTCTCTCTCTCTCTCTCTCTCTCTCTCTCTCTCTCTCTCTCTCTCTCTCTCTCTCTCTCTCTCTCTCTCTCTCCCTCCTCCCTCCCTCCCTCCCTCCCTCCCTCTCCTCCTCCCTCCCTCCCTCTCTCTCCTCTCCTCTCCTCTCCCTCCTCCTCTCTCTCCCTCTCCCTCTCCCTCTCTTCTCTCCTCTCTTCTCCTCTCCCTCTCCCTCTCCCTCTTCTCTCCCTCTCCTCCCTCTCCTCTCTCTCCCTCTCCCCTCTCCCTCTCTCCCTCTCCTCTCTCTCCTCTCTCCCTCTCCCTCTCCTCTCCCTCTCCTCTCTCTCTCTCTCTCTCTCTCTCTCTCTCTCTCTCTCTCTCTCTCTCTCTCTCTCTCTCTCTCTCTCTCTCTCTCTCTCTCTCTCTCTCTCTCTTTCTCTCTCTTCTCTTTTTCTCTTTTTCTCTC